AAGGAAACAAATCTTTGTAGGACTGGCTACAGGCAAGGCAAGTGTCTCCCCCCTGTACTATCTCTCCGCCCTAGATCAGTGGCGTTCCTAAACCTAGAAGCACCATTTCTAATTTGCTGGCCCCTGATCACAGCTCTAAGAAATGTTTCTCCCAGACTGTAGTATCTTTTACGTCCATCTACGTTTCTTCAGTAGAGATCCGATAAAATATTAAATCAGTGCTGAGTAACTGCAGCTCATGTTTTGATTGTTCATTTGCAGGGCAAAGACCCGGATAACAAATCCTTGGGTTCTTCTCTTGTGACTTTTCCAATGATTCAATCCAACAGTCTATAAAAGAAACCATCTGTTTAACATTTCCAAAGTTTAAGTCATAGTTAATAAATATTTGACGCTAAAGTTATTAGAGTCTATTCTAGTTACATAGGTCACAATCTAAGTGACATCCACACCTAACTGCAAATGTTGGCTGTACAACTGCCCATGTGCACAAGACCAGTGACAAACCCCTCAGGATATTTTACCCACTAGCCAGACAACAGGGCAGGTACGAAGCAGATTCTAAGTTTTCACATAAGCTACTACATTGTATAAGCTAGTCATTCATCTTTTTAAAGCTCATGGCAACCCTTAATAGGTTAACTTCAAATGTTCTAAACTTACAAGGATGGCTTTGTTTCTTTGGCGTTTTGGGGCCACACTCAGGGAGGGGTTGGCCAGGGGACCATGCAGTGCTGGGGCTCAAACCTAGGCCTCTTGCATGCGAAACATGTGCTCCAGGAAGGAGGCTGTTGAATTATCTTCCTGATCCCTGAAGACTCAGGACCAAGGCTGGGAATGAAGAAACTTTAGATATTAGGGCAATTTTATACCCCAACACCACCACGTGTGGTCCTGAATCATGACAGGAATGATCCAGAAACAGGAGTAAAGCCTTGAACACAGCCATATGACCCCCAAACAAAACACAATGTGTAAGACATATAAGCACAAACATGCATAGTCAGACTGCTTTATCCTCCCATTAATGGCCACCATGGATTTCAGGTGTATTTTACTTACTCAATTAAATCACACCAGGGACCCTATTGTACAGAGAGTAAGTTATTTGCCTTCCACATCACATATGGTCCCCCTAACATGGCCAGGAATGCTCCCTAAGTACAGAATCGGGAGTAAGGCCTGAGCACTGCTGGGTGTGGCCCCCAAATCATTAAAAAAAACAAAGTAAACCACATAAAATTGGTCTGATGTCAGAGAAATGAGATTTTCCTAATTAAAACTAAAATATTTTGCCTTAGTAACTATTGCATAAGACTGGGTACTCATGTTGATCTAACTACTAGTGTTGATCTAACTGCTCAATGCCCTATTCTTTTATTTTGTGGTACCAAAGATTGAACTCAGGGTCCCACATATACAAGGCAAGTGCTCTACCACTGAGAGTATTTGGTACTCTCTCAGTACCAAGAGAGTACCAAGAGAGTATCCCCACCAGTTACTTTCTTAGCTAAAACACTCCTTGCAAGAGGATGCTATAATTGACATGCTTCAATCAAATTTTCAAAGTTTTTAGATTATGGCTATTTTATATATTTAAAAGGAAGGCAAATGGTCAATTCTAAATACTACAAGTCTAACTAAATTTTTAAAAGTTGGGGGGGGGGCAGGGTTGTACTTGGGTCACAAGTTACTTGCTCTGAGTTATTCTTGGCTGTGTTCAGGAGTGACATCCCTGATAACATGAGACCCAAAGTAGAAGTGGGGTCTGACGAATGCAAGACAAATGCCTCACCTCCTGTCTCTCCAGATAGAAGAAAACTTGACTTAACTACATAGGTCAAAACTAGCTCAAAAGTTAACAAATTACTCCAAGTCTATCAACCGTTTTTCCCAATACCTCACAGCACTGAGACCACATTTATTTATATGACACTTGCAGTATCTTGACTTATATAGCTTTATGACAAGCAATTCTGGAGATAAAGTGTGTAAGAGAAAGAAGTTACGCATCAAGATTGTTTGGAAGTACCTGCACTTGATTTTGTCTTTCTTCTTTCAGACAATCCCCAAAGCATGCTCCAACATGGCAGAAATTTGGCAGGGCCTTACAATATCCTTCTCAAAACACATAAATGAATGCTTTAAGCAACAGCAATCAAGTTGTCATTCTTAAATGAATCTCAATATTGAGAACACACAGGTTTCAAAAAAGAAAAAAAAAAGTTAAAGCAGGTAAAGCAGACAATGCATTTAAAACATTTACTTCTAAAAGCTTAACATTTGTTAGTCAACTGAAATTTGTTGTATTGCTTTTCATTTAACTTTAGCATCAAAATAAAGGCTATCAAAGACTCCAATTTAAAGCCATGAGATCTTCTATCTTTAACAATAACACGATTCAAATAGCATTATCAAAGGTCCAATGCTACAATAAATAATCTCTTGTTAAAACAAGAAGAGGACCTAAGTTTTGATCAAGCAACCTACAAATTCGACCCGAATTTGTGCCATGTCACAAAACTATGCAACACTTAGCTCTAAGGGGCCCCCAAATTTCTCCTCAATAACTCATAGGAGTTATAAAGGAGATCCTGAAACATTGCAATGCTTTCCTTGAATTACTTAAATCACCTTACTGTTGTCTAACATTCTTAAGTCATCTTCCCCCCCAATTCCCACCCCTTCCCCCCGCCCCCCAACTATGCTGGAAATTGAGCTCATACAAACAAGTATTCTACCACTGAGCTCCATGCTGGCCTGAGCCAGCTCATTTGAAAACAAAATTTGTCATTACCCTAAAAGGAGAACCAGAATCATTTTCTATAAGTAGAAATATCTTTATTCTTCCACATTTCAGTGAGATGACTTGCAACATTAAAACTAACACACTTAGGAATACCAGCTGTTTTCAATCTGTTTCGTTATAAACATTTAATCTTCCATATTCTGCAAATGAATCTTATAGTTTTATAAACTCAACAATTTATAGGTTAGTCAGAAGCTTCTTGAGAAACCTGATTTGCAACAGGACTTCCAATCTACTTAGAGCAAATCTTGTAACTTCAATGCACTATCACATTCTTTCTATACTCAAACTCACTAATTTACATAGATTCTATCATAACTTAACATTCTAATTCTTTTTAGATCACCAGAGTTAAATAGAAGAATTAGAATCGCAGCATTCAGATTCATCAATTGGAATAATATCTGAATTAACTCAGCATTGTTTTTTTGGAGAAAAATTTAGAGGAAACCAAAGGTCCTCATAGAAGTCATAGTTAAAGGAATACATAGTTCCTTGAAAGCCAAATTTAAAAAAACAAAAGACAACCTGTACTAAGACCTCTTAACCTAAGTTAAGAGGAGGAGACTCTGTACAGGAAACAAGAGATTAAACAATAATGACAGGTAAATCATTTCTTAGACTTCCGGTGATTCTTGGCAGCAAAAGGTTGTGCTTTTGGAAAAAAAAAAAAAACTCAGTCACAAAGTGATTAATCAAGTGACTTAATACAAACAAGAAAAATAAATATTTGTTATAGGTTTGCTCCCAAAAGACAACTGCAGTCTTTCTGCCATACCAGGTCTCTTTTCTAGGGTAAAATTCAATTAAATAAAGCAGGGTCTTTGAAATTGGCATGCTCTGGCTAGATTAAGCCAAGAAAAAAGGAATTTTAACACCCATTACCTGAAGTCAAAACAAGTTGCCTTTTCCCTGTTTGTTTTTTTAAAACCACCAGAAACCAGTATCAAGGAGATAAACGTAGGAATCCAAAATCAAATAGAAAACAGACATCATCATCTCTCAAGAAAACATTTTTGCCTCAATCAGAATTTTATATGACACACCAGAACACTGAATACATGCTTGAACTAACCTCAATTCTCCGGTATTAATTAGCCACCCAGCACTCATTCTTATTACTGAATAGTAGAGAGGGAAAGTCTAATTGTTCTTCTTTAGGGCTGTCTACTGAATCAGTTTAAGATTAAAACAATTAAATCAACAAACCTGTGAAACAAAGGCCAAGTCAGTAAATATGCAAAAATATAGCAAAATAAATTCTTGTATGATTAAAATAGAAGAGTCAGACTGTTTTTCTTATTACAAGAATTATCTCAAAAGATCATCCTAACCTCTTTTTCCTTTAGCCAGGAGTTATCTCAGAAAGATAAGTGAAGCTATGTCATCGAAATGCTAGCCTTAACATGAAATGTGGTCTCTTTCACTTAAAACAACAAAAAGTAAAATAAGACAGAACAGCTCAGTTTAATTTCAAACGTTAATATATTTTCTATTTTATATTGAACATATGCATCTGGAACCCCTCATTTGCAGCAACTATCACATCCTCATAAAAGGGGCAAAATTTGTAAGACGCCTCTTAAAATAAATATTCTTTTTTATAAAATAATAAAACTTCAAATAAATATTCTTTACACTAAACAATATGTTGAAAAAATTAGAAAATAAAGGTTGAATTTTACTGTAACTGTACAATATACATGAAGTCCAAAGGGAAATCAGAGTCTTACAATAAAGGCTTTCTGTAAGGCAAAATACAATCTAAAAACATACTGATTGATTCACATTCTTCCGAATGTACAACATATTAGTATAATATTTTGTGACTGTGCCATATAGCATGGCACAACTTGTTTTTCACAGTTGCAAATATTATTGTATATACAAAAATATAGCACATTATCTCTGGAGAAAACAATGGAAAAAAAGTCATTTGCTAATTTACAAATTTTGCAAGTACTATTCACAAAAGAACTGCCTATGAGTGTCTGTTGCTTTAGCTTATGCAACATATGGGTCGCCAAGTTCTGTATCCCATACTTCTGAGCTCCATTAGCTGAGTTCTAATAAGCGTATCAGTTAAAATGGCACATGGACAAAAGCATTTCACTGCAAACAGCAAAGAATATCCCAACCCTCTATTAACAGTGCCAAGATTATAACTGTTTAGTTGGTTGCATATGTGTTAAAAAAAAAAAAGAGGAACGATCCTTATTACTGTAATATTCCTGATTAATAATGATGCTATGTTGGTTTTTCAAAGTTCCTGGGTGGGACAGTGGGAACTTTGCAGCAAACTGTGTTTGAATTTTTACAGCGGCATCCAGGCCTGTTAACGCGATCATAACACCCCTGGCACAATTTAAGGCAACCCTTGGCTGGAAGGTAACACCATAAACAAGGCAAAAAGAGGGACATGACGCCCATGGCCGACCAACGCGTACACCAGTGAGACTGGCTGCAAGAGCACGGGTTGTCAGCACAGTTGTCCTCATCATCATTAGAACAGTGATAGAAGAGACCTTTCACACAGCACACGCAAGTCCCATAGTCAATCACGTTCTGGGCTGAGCAAAGGCACTGCTTATCGCAGATCCAGTCCGAGGGCAGAGGCCTGGGGTAGGTGCACTCCTTACACTTGCACTTGCCGCAGTCCTCGCACCTGTAGGCGTGCAGGCCCAGATCTTCTTTGCTCAGCGGCTTCAGTTCACCCGGTTTGAGCTCGGATTTGGGCTGCACCCGGATTATTCCATCGGCCGCAGGCACGGCAGAGAATGAGGACCCTAACAGTCTCTGTTCTGAGGAGCTGCTGCTGGTACTGGTCCGTGTGCTGCTCCGGGAGCCCGAGCTGACCGTGCTGATGGACCTGGCCAGGGGGGCTCGGGCGGAGGAGGGCAGCCTGGGGGGCTGGCGATGCTCGGGCAGCCCGTGGAGTCTCTCGTGCTTGTGCTGCGTGGAGGGGCGAGGGGCCGGCTTGAGCCCGGGTCTGGGCACCACCGTAGGCCCCTCCGTGTACTCATTGGTGTTCCGGATGGCTCGGATCTGATCCAGAGACAGGACGTGTACCTGCTGGCTGAGGGCATCTCTGGGCTCGGGCTCGCCGCGCTGCCGGCCTCCGTCACGGGGCGCCTGCAGCAAGGGCTGTGACCCGCTGCCACTCTGAGCTCTGGCCTCCATCGGGTCTTGGAAGTATGGTCACTCCAGCAGGCTTAGCACACATCTGAATTCCTGCGGAAACGGAGAGGAAAGAAGGTTTACACTCCAGGATACTTCCCATTCTCCACCCACCTGAGTTAACTCTTCACTGCCCACCTCCCTCTGGGCAGCAGGGTTTGAAAAGGTAAGGGGACGAGGGGAGGGCGTTGAGGGGAGAAGGGGGCTTCGAAACAACCAGAGGTACAGTGCCAGGACTTAACTGTTTAAGTACCCTGGCGAGCTACCCTCACTTCTTTAATCCAGTGGGGGTCCCTGCCACAAAGCTGATCTTTGTTTCCTTCCGGCACATAAATTCTTTATTCAAGTGCACAAAATGAGCAAGGTCCAGGCCGAAGGTTAAAAGGCCAGGAGCCACGTTAGGATCGCGGTGCTGAACATTATCTCCCCTCAAAATCTGTGACAGATTTAGGATTATTTTCGTTCTTTGAGCCCTGAAATATGAATAAACGCAGCCTAGAAATTCTTCCTGGCTTAAGCCTGCTTTTGCAGCATACATCTCTAACTATACTTGAAGCTGTAGTATCTTAATTAATGAAACCTCCTAAGGGTCAGCACTCTGAAAAGTATCACTGACAACCGCCTCCCCCTCACAAAACTCACAACCTTGCACTATTACCATCCAGCAAAGCACAGTGACCTTTAAAGCAAACTTACACATGAGAAACAAGAATTCAACTTAACAACCAAATACTTCATAGCCTAGAACATCTTTAATTTGCACAGGTAAAAGACTGTTGTCCTTCAGGAATAAATTACGTCAAGCTCTTAACTGTGTAGCCTTCTGTTTTTGAAGCAGTGCCGCCCCCCCCAAAAAAAAAACCCTTTCAGTTGAGAACACAAACGGACTGATAACAGGAAATGTAAAAAATCCAAGCATTAGACCTCAACCTTACCACCTGATCAACCATTCTTGAAATCGCAAACCGCTCTGCAAATCACAAACTATCATTCCCGGTGCCCAGGAAGGGGAAAAAAAAAAACGGGCAAAAGTGGACCTTTATCCAGTCTCCGCCTTTTAGGAGCGAGACTCAGGCAGGTGACACACGCCTCCCAGTTCCGCACAAGGTGAAGCTGGAAACAGGATCCCACTTGCAACAGAAAAGCAGTCAGAGACAGCGCGGCAGCTCTAGAGTTTCACTCGTTGGTTGGCTCTTATCTGCGCCCCAACACCGTCCCCAGCAGGTGGGACACAGTGGAAGCCCCAGGGGACTGTTCTCTGTGTGCAGAGACACATCCCAGAGGCCACGGTCTCCCTCCCCCACCATCCCAGCACACAATCTCCAGAAAGGACAGGGGGGGGGGGGGTCGCGACGGGCGTATCCAATGGGACGTGCCAAGCCACGGCGGGGCACATTGCCCCCATCCCCCCCCGCCCCCGTTGCTGCTGAAGTTCCGTCCCCCCACTGCAAAGACCTCCCTCCCGCGTCCCTAGAGCCACTGTACCCAAGGCGGTGGTCACGCAGCCCACGGCGGGGCAACCGTGCAGAGCGCCAGGAACGCAGGGCACAGGTTTCCAGCCGCGACGAAGCCTCAGCAAGGAGCCACCCGGGAGGGCACCGCGGTCGAACCCACGGGCACCGGCGACTCCGAGCGCACGCAAGGAACGCGCATTGCCTGCACCCCTACACGTACTGATTCCTTTTTTTTTTGGAGTTGGGAGATTAACAACAGCCACAAAAAAAAAAATCCCACCAATCCTACAGACCCATCTACTCCTTCCAACCAAAGGAAGGCTGTTGAGACATTTTCCAGGCTTCCCTAGCGCACGCCGGGGTGCACGGCTGAGATCCCCTGGCTGGAAACTTTTTTGAAAGCAGATTTGCTGGCAGTGGGTGAAAAAGTAGCATCTTTGGGGGATGGGAGGGTGTCTTAAATCCCGAAAAAGGAGAGGGTAAAAGAAGCCCCCACAAAAAAAAAAAGTGATTTCTGCCGATCCCCGGCCTCCTCCTTTCGCAGCTGCCCCCCACTTGCGGCGTCTCTACCCCACGCCCCCCGAAAGTTGTCTTGAAACCCCCCCATTAAGAATAGCGTGTGATCAGACTAAAGACTTGGGGGGCGGAGGGAGGACTTCAGCACAAGGGTGGGGCCAAGCGAACACAGAAAAGCGCTTTGTAAAAAAAAAAAAAGCACAGAAATGCCTAATTAAAAAAAAACATCATCAACAACAACAAAAAGCAAATTAAAAGAAAGAAAAGGGGAGGGAGAAGCGGGGGGAGAGGGGGAAAACCGCACCATGCTAGCCTCTTCTCCCCACTCTTTTCAGGTAATGGAAACGGATCTGCACCCGCCTGATGACTTTCTTCCTGCGTGGGGTCAGTCCCGAGCGTCCCCAAATCAGAAAATAAGAAAGTGAGACCCGGGCCGACCACAAGGCAGGGGCCGGTAGCAGGCTGCACTTCCGAACCGCAGAGCCCGGCGCCAGGCAGGGCGACGCTCCCGGCCCGCACCCCCGGGCAGCGGCGGCGGCTCGCTCCCCCCCAGCCGGCACCCTGCCCGCTCTTCACCCACGGGGTGGGGAAGTCGGGGTGGGGGGCCGTCGGGTTCTCGGAGTCCCGGGACTCCGAGACGAACGTTCCTTCCCCCCCAAACCCGCCCCCCGCCGAGGGGGGGGGTCTGCGCCTCTCCCAGGACAGGTTCGAGGAGAGCTAGCGCGCCCCGGCCCCCGAGATCTCGGCAAAAGCACAAAGTGCTTCGCCCCCTCCTGCTCTCCGCGGGCCCTTTGCAGAAACCGAGCGAGGCGGGTGTCCCAGCGACGACGGGCCCCGCAACCCCCAACAACCCCCCACCCCAAGTCCCAAAGCGCGCGGGCGCGGGCGCGTGCGGCGGACGGACGGACGGACGGACAGACCCCAGTCCCGGGCCGGGCTGCACCTACTCCATGTTGCTCCCGACGCGCCTCACCGTGCTCGCGGCTCTGCAGCAACCCCTCGCGCTCGCTCTCTCCCGGGGGCTGCTTCCTGCGCCGCGCCAGTAAATCCAGCCCCGATTGCAAACTTTCCCCCCGTTCCGCTCCCGACGCCGCTCCAGTCCAACTTCCGAGCGATCGGCCAGGGAGGCAAAAAAAAAAAAAAAAAAAAAAGCGAAGAGAATCCGGAGTCAAGTTCCCAGCCGATGAGCACACTCCGGGGATTTCAGGGGGCTACCCCCACCTTTGCTTTTTTTTTCTTCTCTCTCTCTCTCTAGAAGCGCACGCGGAGTGTTAGTTCCCTTTTTTATTTTTCTCAATGAACTGGAGGCCGAGGCGCCCAACAGGCGAAGTCCTTTTTTTTTTTCTTTTCCTCTCTCCCGGGCAGATGAGCGAAGCTGGAGAAGCGAAACGGCCTCAGCGCGGAGCGGCGTTGGCGGCGGCCGGGCGGCCCGGCGGGGCGCGGCGTTGGCGGCGGCGGCGGCGGTGCAGGGGCGCGGGGCGGCGGCGGGCCGGGCCGGCCGGGCGCGGGGGCCTGGGCGCTGCGCGCTCCGCCGGCCCCTCTGCGGTGCTCGCGCTGCGGCGCGCGGCTCTCGGCGGTGCAGACTGGGCGTTGGGGAGGCGCGGCGGCGAGGCCGAGGCGGGGGCGGCGGGTGCGGAGGCGGCGCGGGCGGGGGCGGGGGCGGGCGCGGGGGCGGGGGAGGGTCCGGGGCCCGGCCGGGGGGGCTCGCCGCTGGCCTGCGCCCTGGCCTTTCCGGAGCGGGCGGGCAGCGCTGCGGCGGCCGCGGCAGCAGTAAATGGCGTCATGTGGCTCCGAGGCGGAACAGAGCAGTTGTTGTCCCAGAGGATATATCGCATCCGGTCCCAGCTCATTGGCTCGGCGGGGCTACATTCACTCGCTCCAGCGCCCGCCAGCGCGCCGAGCCGCAGGAGGCATTCAAAAGGGCAACCGCGCCGCCCGGACGCCGTCACGCGGGCCGAGGCCGCGCCGGGCTCAGTTTCTCCCCGTTTCAAGGAAAGCCTGACCCGAAGGCTGCACCCCCCGCCCCCACCCTCTCCCCCAACCCCCCCCCCCCCAGCCCCGGAGCCCCGCGAGCGCTCGCTCGGCTCGCTGGAGGGAACTTGCTGGCTCGCCCCTGCGGAGCGGGGAGTGAACCACATTTCCAAGCACTCTGGGTCGGGCAGGGTTGGCCTGGAAAAAAAAAAAAAAAAAAACCCAAGTTGCAGGGTGCCCGGCTGCATTCGGGATCCAGGGCGAGTCCCACCTCCCGCTCCCCGTGTCTTGGCAGCCCCCCCGCCCCCGCCAGCCCAACCCAAACCCCCCGGCCTCCGAGGGGGGCGACGAGGAGGGGGGAGGGGAAGGGGAGCGGGAAGTGAGGTGGGAGGGCTATTGGTTTATTCTTTGTCTTCTGGATTAACCCGATTATACACCAGGCACCAGCACAAACCGCCTCCCCCCCCCCCCCCCCCAACCTCCGAGCCGTGTAGGAGTGGAACGGAATGCAGATTCGGGTTTCAAGTACCTTCTGCTCTGGCCGGAATTTGCTTTAGATTGTGTCGAAGGGTCGTTTTGTGTTTTGTTTTTTTCCATACGGGGTCATATTTTTTAACGGGGAGGGGTGGAGTGGGGGGAATTAGCTGGTGCTTGTGGAAGATCTTTCTGCCTTTTTTTTTTTTAATGCAATAGCTGGAGGAAATCCTACCAGCTAAGCCCTTGAAACATGAGTTCTTTCCACAATACATACACGGTCACTCGGAGCGACATCGCGGGTTTCTGAAATAGACCGAGAGGTGGGGGGTGGGGGTGGAGGAGATGGGAGGTGGATTTGTTTGCCGATCTCCTGCACATTGACTTCCAATAACTAGAAATCATCGTTGCCTACTCTTCTTGTCATCTAGAGCGTATGTATCTCAGGAAGACCCAGCCCTGGTGGGCTGCATGTCTCTCGCATTAAAAAAAAAAGTAAAAAACTGCATACAAACTCTGCCTTGTATTTACCAAGAAACGTGCTTGCACGTGGGAACCTCTGCTGCGAAATTACCCTTACATGCGCGCGCGTACACACACGCACGCACACACACACGCACGCACACACGCTGGAGTCTAATGATTTATAGGATGTTTTTACATTACAGGGAAGAATGGTCAAAACACCCCCATTAGCACCTGCGATCTTGCCCGCGTGCGGGGTTAGGGTGCTTGTAGGAGTGCTGGGAGAACGTGGCGCTCGCCTCCGGGGTCCGGCCGCGGTCCCCGCCCGCGAGCAGCGCCCCTGTGGCACCCCGGGGTCCCCCGGTCCCCAGCTCCAGAACGTGCGGGCGCGGCGCGCTGCACTCTTCGCCCAGTTCTCCCATGTTCCTCGGGCGCTCCCTCCCCCTCGCCCGGGCTTTGGAACGGGAGATGGCAGGGGAAGTGGCATGCGCTATTTCCGGGCGCTGGCCTACGTGCCCCCAGCCCTCGGGGGCAAGTGGAAGCGGCTGGTCGAGCCTGCCCCGTCGCGTACCCGGGGTCGAGGGCGCGAGGTCCCGGGGCCGCCGGAGCTCGGGGCGCTCGCTGGCCCGACGTCCAAGTCCTCCGGCGTCCGGGTGGGGGGGGGGGGGGAGGGGGGGAGAGGCGGGCGATGCCGCGTGTCCGGCCCGTCTGGCCGCCAGGGGGCGCCCGCCGGGCACCGCGCTGGCGTATTGCTCACTTTCCCATTCCTGAAGCCGGCGGGCGTGCTCGCCCTCCCCGAAGCGCAGGAGGCTAGCTGGTTGAAAAAAATGAATCAAAAGTCGTTTTGATATACAGGTCACGGCAGGTAGCTACCCCTACTATCTCCCTCGGCCGCATTCCGTTTGGAAGGCGAAATGAGGCACCTAGATTCCGAAGAAACCCAGTTTTGTTTTTTTTTAACACCCCCTCCCCCCCCCCCCCCCAGGGGGGAAAGGATTGGGGACCAGAGCCAGGTTGTGCAAGGCTGGTCCGGAAGGCGCTGCTAGTGTCTGGCCAACAAGTCTCCTGGCCGAGCAGGTGAAAGAAGCGCCTGCTCTTTGCCCGCTCAAACCTGCACCCCGTGTCTACCGCTTCAGCAGACGCTCACACGTGCCAGTGCGGCTCACCGGCCCTGCAGAAACTCTGCGAAGATATGTTGTTCAGGATCAAAGCAGGAAAGGAATTTAAATGAGGAGCTTCCGGCTGACTTAGGTGTTCCGGTTAGAATACCTTCTGTTTTTTATTGAGGCCATTGGGGAAAAATTCAACTTCTGTGAACTAGAAGCAATCTTCCTCCAACCGAGAAACTCGAGCTTGTTGGCTAAGAAAACATTGAACCTCTAGGTTAGGTACAAGGTTTTAAGGAGTTTGGGCTTCTTTCTGATTGGGGCTTCTTTGCTTGCTATTTATTGCTGTTCGTGCAATGGTGATCTTTTTCAGAGGTGAAATTTGCAGGACACTACAGTGTGCTTTACTTAGTTTACTCCAAAAAATGTACAGTTCTAGGGGTTAGAGAGAAAGCACAGCGGGTAGGGCACTGGTCTTGCAGGCAGCTGACCCAGGTTGGAGTCCCTGCTTCACTATCCCCCAAGGGGTGGCGAGTGTAAATCCTGAGTACAGAGTCAGGAGTGACCCCAGAGCATCACAGGCTGTCAACCCAAAACAAAAAAAGTCACTACCCCCCCCCCCACCATTGTTTCATGTTACAATGATCTCAATTTCCTTTGAAAAATTTTGATTTTTGAAAATTTTCTTCCAAAAAAAACTATGTGAATTTTGCATCTCAAATCTTTGCTAGAAGGCACTAATGGGATAGTATTAGTAGGCTATTTTGCCAATAGTTATGTTGGAAGAGAAAAGTCAGGTATGATAGCCACACCTCATGATGCTCAGGGCTTTCTCCTTGCTCAGTACTAAAGGAGCACTCCTGGCAGATTATGTGACGCCAGGGATTCAACCAGAGTCTGCTAGGCAAGCGTCCTGCCTGCTGTACTATCATTCCAGGATAAGTCAGGTATTTTCAAGGTTATCTCAACTCACTGGTTTCAGCTTCTGGTGAGTGGTATAGTAATGAGAGAAGATAGCACTAGTCAAATGTAGTTCCAGTTTCTCTGTGAGATGGAATGACCTACTTGACATTCCTGGATTCATGAGTGACTGTATTGATGAACAATGAGAAATACTGCAATGTTATGATGCACTTTTTAGACAAAGAGAAAATAATATGAACTGATTCTTTGATTAGTTTTATAATTTGTTTACATTAATTTAAAAAAATTTAAATGAATCACTGTGAGGTACAATTACAGACTTACAAACTTTCATGCTTACGTTTCTTCAGTCATACAATGATCAAGTACTCATTCCTCCACCAGTGCCCGTTCTCTACTACCAGTGGTCCCAGTATCCCTGCCACCACTCCCACCTCATCCCCACCACCCCACCCCGCCTTTGTGGCAGAGCATTCCCTTTTGCTCTCTCTCTCCTTTTGGGTGAGGTATTGAGTGGCCATCATGTTTGGTCTATGATTAGTTCCATGATTAAGGAAATCTATACATACCTGTATATACATGTATGCATGTGTATATACATACATATACATACAACCCAAACAGAATGGTGCTTCCATGAGTAACAATTTGGGTCTTTCCACTGTTTCTTCTGATACCCCAATTGCAGTAATAAAATTAGTTTTGCTACACACACTTTAGGAAGGGCTCCCCTTGGGTTAAATGACAGCACCAAAAAGGTTACCAGAAATTTTCACTTTGATAGCAGCCACTATAGTCATATCATGGTTCTTTAGTTTGTTTTATTTTGTTTGGAGCCACCCCTGCAGTTCTCAGGGGCTGCTCTCAAACAGGGTCTCTATACTGGCCCTTTGAGTGGTTCCCCCTACTCTCCTCTGAATTGCTTTGATTCTCTGATTTCTATTGATATTGTCTCTATGAGGGAATTGAGTGGCTGAAGATTTTTCTTTTGCTTTTAAGCCCTCTTTTAAAAAGGTATATTTTGAAATAGATCTCAATCTAGAGTTTTAAATCTAAACCTCTTGGAAACTAGGACCTGTGTATCACTTCATCTAACCTTCTTCGGAAGCTGTTCTTTATCACTAATTGAACTGGGAGCAAGATAGGGAGTTATCTTGAGTAAGAGGTGTAGTCT